TCTTCTAGTTCTTTGAGCAGTATGAAAAACTCCTAATGTCATCCAACTACGTCACAAGGAGGCAGTCTCTGAAGGTCAGTTGATATATGATATTGTGGCTGTAATTTTTTAATTTCTCTAAAGCTGCTGATTCATCTCTCTTCACAACTTTCAGCTTTTGTCAGAATTTCTATTAGAACCTCCCAACTCCCATATAATGAAGCGCTATATTGCAGAAGTTAAACATTTGAAAGTCATGATGACATTGCTCAAGGTATTGCATTTATTGAATACTTCAAAAAGTATTCATAAGCTTGTTTCTGATCCAAATTACCATTCACAATATTCCCAACACTGGTGCTAGGTCGTGCTTTAAAAAATAAATATGAAAATAATGTAAATAAGAACAAATATGGTAACCCATGATTTACACTCAAAGTATTGCATGCCATGAATTAGTTGGAAGAAGGTTATACACCTGGTTCTAACGTGCATAACATGTTTGTTGAAATATTGAATCATCATAACCCAGCCACTCAATAACAATAATTAAGATATAGGCTGGAGACATATTATACTACATACATTTTAATTTGATCCACCATGAACATGTCACATCCAAATGATGAAATGCATGTTTTAATACATTATGAGCTTATTACAAATATCATTGGGCCACAGGAATGCAGAGTGCCAGCATGCCAGTGCAATCGATTTGTGGTGTTTGACTGATGCGCAAATATAAGGAAATAAATTACACCTTTGCAACCAGCTATGGATTTTGGCGTAGTGGTAAGCACTTGATCCTGACAATTGGTATTAGAGCATGTTACAAGTTCAACCCCCGACAATAGCATCATATGTAGTTGTAGGTTGTGTTATAGTGGCAGGCTATTTTTATAACCTTCTTTTATATTTGCTCATTCTGTAGTTATAGAAGGTTCATTCTATCAATTATTTCCAACTCATTCACAACAATACTCATTTGAATATGAAATTATAACATGTACATTATTTTATTGTATGGTTGTTCATTCTGTTTTTTGTGTGAATAATTTCATGAGCCCTAAAATTAATCACGACATAAGCCTTCAGTGACCTCGAGGATATGAACTTTTGAATGAGAACAAGTATTATTATTCATGATCTTGGGTCATGTTTCACTTCCATTTGGTGTGATTTCATCATGAGATTTAATGTGAATAAGTATGGAGTGGAATTTTGTTGAGATGAAACAAGATTTAATTTTTTCCAACTCCTTCACAATAGTTGAAACAAAAGAACATTCAACAATATATAGTCAAATCAAACAATTAGCTTATTTTGTGTAAATATAGAGTATTAATTAGAGAGTAATAAGTAGATATGGATATTTGGATGGTCGAGCAATAGGGCCGACCCATTTTCCTGAAGGTCTCTCCTCACACCGCACCTGCAAAAATGCATGCCAAGGGAAGGGACCAAAGGAATTCATGGGAACCAGGCAGGATCATGACACATGGGATCACTAAAGGGCGATGGGACCCAGAGGGAACCTAGCCTGAAGGGGTCGAGCCTCATGTCTTCGGGCGCACATTCTACGGAGTTGACGAACGTCCCTTATCGATCAGCGAGCAACACATTTCATGAACCCAACGGGGCCGCAGACACGCATGGCCACACCATGGACGCTCGGTCCCTAGAATGTAGCGGGCGGTCCCCATCCTTTGCACCATAATGGCAACGCTCAGTTGCCTCGCCCCCAATATTGGCTACATTTGAGGAGATGCATTAAATGCAAGATAGGGCATTGTAAGTGGATGGCAGAATAGTTCAATCTATAAGAGGAAGATACGTCACTTTCACCCGTACCGCCCAAGTAATATAAATACCTCCTAATTTATTATGGAAAAAGGGTAGCTGAAATAGCATTATTGAATAGAATTTACTCTAGCTCTCATCTTATAACCACTAGCGTAGCCATCACTAGAGCATATATTAGCCGTGTCTCATAGCTTGTTCTTGAGTGTATTGTTATAGTTCCAAGATAATACGAACCTAACACATGCATCTTAATCTCGCATTTCATACTTCTTTCTAAAATAATCACATATTTCTGAAAATCTGTATTGGTCACCCGCCAAATGTATTACTCTATATATTGGACATTTAGGGTGAGGAAGTTCACCTCAACAGTTGCCCATCTCGTGATATTTTGTAAATGCAATCTCAATACGAGTTTAAGAACTCGATAAGATCTTTCCAACGAAATATAAAACGCTAGAAACGAAAGAACATATAAAGAGATATGATCAAATCAAATACTTAGATTGTTCGTAGTAAACTCGACAATGTTTTTGAATTTTATTACAATACATACCTATCATTTAATATTTTATAATTTAGGGAAAACTATCAAATAAGCCCCTGTACTGTACCGAAAAAGTCGATTAGGCCCTCATACTTTACAAACACTCAATTAAGTACTCGAACTATTAAAAACGTTCAATTAAGCCCTTTTGGTGGGTAAGTAACCGATTTCCCGGTTAAACGACGACGATGGTGACGATGTGCTCTAACCCCAGCAACGACGGCTTCCGGGAAACAGGTTACATTTAACCGGGAAACCGATTACTTACCGACCGAAAGGGCTTAATTGAACGTTTTTTAATAGTTCGAGGACTTAATTGAGTGTTTGTAAAGTACGAGGGTCTAATCGACTTTTTCGGTATAGTACGAGGGCTTATTTGATAGTTTTCCCTATAATTTATTTAGTCATAATTAATTGAATATTTGTAATACATACCTATCCTTTAATATTTTGTAAGTGAAGTCTGAATACAAGTTAAAACTCTATAAGATCTTTCCAACGATATACGGAGCATAAAACACTTGAAGGGAAAGCACATACAATATGGTATGATCAAATCAAATACTACTCTTGTTTATAATCAGCTCGGTAATGCTTTTTATCTTCTATATAATACTTACATGTGCTTTGATAATCCCATTGTAAATGTTGAATCTTACATATATGTAATCAATGTTCTAGCTAGAAATAAAGTTGTCGAAATAATGTAGAAGAGTATGTTGCATAAATGTGTAGCGCTTGTTTTATTAATTAATTATTGGGGTGATGTTATAATATTAATTATATTTTACCTAGTGTGTTTAGTAATTAATCATTTTTTGAATTGGCTTATGTCATTATCGTTTTAGTTAAGTTTTTGATTTTTCGTACTAAATTATGTAATTTTCTAAATTGGTACGTTTTGAATTATTTTATTACTGAATATAATAGAATATAATGATTTTGCTAAAGAGATATTATAATTTCTTTTCATATAACTTATTCTTTGCAATGGAGCCAAAGACTCACTATTTTTTTGACTTGGGAGTATGATGCAATAAATTAGAAACTTGGATCACTTAACTGTATGCACTTCTTTGTTATGAAGCAACTGTCAGCCCATTTGATTTTTCGGTGTGATTTTTATTATAAGTCATTGAGAAACAGTCTTTCTGTGTTTTAGTACGTACATGAGTAAGACTGCGTACATCTGACCCATCTTACCCCGCCGTAGGTGGAAGCCTTTGCGGCATTGGGGTAATGATGATGATAATGATGTTTTCTTTATTTATTAATAAACTTTTATAAGTATTACTCCCTCCGTCCCTAAATAAACATTTCTCTTTCCTTTTCGGGCCGTCCCTAAAAGGTGTCATCTTTTCTTATTTGGTAAACAAAACAGTGCAAAACAGTATCAAACAATGTCAAAACAGTGTCAAACAATGTCATTTTCTTAAACTATGTGTAATTCAAAGTGAGCCTTTTAAATAGCGACGAAGGGAGTATGTCTCATAATCAAGCAATTTAGATTAGGGGTGAGCATGGTCCGGGTCGGTCCGGGTAATTGATAAATTTTCAAGAATCGACGATTCCATTTAACGGGTAGGTTCGGTCCGGGTCCGGTATTCCAAGTTTTGAAATAAGAACCGGACCTTATTTGTCCCGTTTGAAACGGACCGGTTCGGTCTGAGTTCTCGATTCTTTTTTTTTTGTAAAAAAACTACCGCTATTCTAGCAATGTATCTAGTAGATAGGTATAACATTCTCAAACTAATTAAGTACCAATGTCACCTTAATATAGCACAAATTCAAAATAAAAATATAAAATAACATTTTAAATTAGTTAACAAAATATCTAACCACAAATCTATAAATTAAACGGCACACAACCCATCCAAATTAAATAAGACCAAATTTTAAAATGTAGAAATTTAGACATCATTATTTATAAACTAAAAAGATATCACTATAAAAAACTAAACTAGTTACTATATGTATTTGTCTATGAAAACAATTTAAAGCTTACTAAATCTTAAAATATAAGTAAAATTAAGATGATTAAATAAGCATGTCATATTTCATTGGGTAAGAGTCTTCGTTTACAAAAAATATTAAAATAAAAAAAGTTTGATCCATTTGGAATAGAGAATTGGGAAAAATAATTTATGGAGTATGAGTTTATATGGACTTTGAAACTCTTTTTAATAGACTGTACTGCCAAGTTTCTTTAAATGAGAGCTTTTGTCTAGACACAAGAACATGAAAAGATTTCTATGTTATTAGTATATTTTATATTTTATTTATAACATGTAATAAAGTTTTTTAAAATAACATCCGAAAACGGGTCGGTCCGGATATCCGTTGTTTCAAATTTTAAGTCTCGTTCGATTACTAAGCTTTTAAAGACCCGCTCCGCCCTGAACCGTTTGAGTTTTCTAAAATTAGGACACAACCTTAATCCGCCCCGAACCTGTATTACCCGGCCCGCGATTTCTGTACCCGTTTGCCCACCCCTAATTTAGATAGCTGTTTTAGTTATAACTTTGTCACTAATTACTCCGTATATTCCATAACAATACTCCACTTAAACAAACTAATTACTTCCTAGGATAAAGAAATACTCCAAAATATAATTAACAAAAGTAATCCGCGTTGGTGATATTTACTGTCCCAACGGTGAACGCGTATAGAGCGAGTCTAGCGGCCAGGAAGTTTAAATATTTGCAGAAAGATCTTTAAATCTCCATATGATTCATGTTTCTCTTCATTTCACTCTACCACCTCAGCACTCAATAAATAAAATCACTTTCTTCTTCCATCCCCTTCCCACGTGCCCAAGATCGCTATCAAGTCCGCACTCTCAAAAAACACTCTTTCACCAGCTCATTCCCACACATTCTTGACCTCGTCGGAGATCGGGCGGCGCGGCGCGGCGTCGTCACCCTGACTGAACCCTCTCCGGTGATCTGATTAATGTAGGGTACGTGAGTTTTGTACGTGGATTTCCATAAATAAAATGCATGCATGGAGCCTTTGTGCGAGTATTGTGGAGTGGTGAGGGCAGTCGTGTATTGTAGATCGGATTCCGCCCGCCTCTGCCTACACTGCGACGGCTGCGTCCACTCCGTCAACGGCCTGGCGCGGCGACACCAGCGATCTCTGGTGTGCGACCGATGCAACTCCGAGCCGGCGACAATTAGGTGCATGGACGACGACATTTGCATTTGTGCTTCCTGTGACTGGGGCTGCTCCGCCCAGGGCCACCGCTGTAAGGGTTTGTTTCCGTACACCGGCTGCCCTTCTCCCGCGGACTTCACCACCATGTGGTCTTCCGTTCTTGAATCTTTGCCTGACGATCATCAGCACAATAACAATAATACTAATGACAATTACATTGCTATACCTACTACTATTACTACTAATAATAATAATAATAATAATAATATTGGTATTGACAATAATAATGTCAATTCAGCTTCCTGCTTGGCGACCGAATTGAATAATAGTAATGGTAATAGTAATCAAGGGTTCGTGGCTAGTCGACTCAACGAGCTGGCCACATGCCTAAAGTTCGATCCAGCGCAGCCATGGGTCGACCCTTCACAGCCTCATCACGACACTGGATCTTTCACGACGTTCGGTAGCAGAGATGAAATGCCCTTCACCGCAGGCGGTGCCGTTGAATCCAAAAGCCTCAATAAGGTTCTTCTAATGCAATTGCTATTTTTACTTGAGTATTTTCTTGGTCCCACTCAACAGAGCAACTCAACTTTTCATCAAATACTTACTAGTATTAAGCTTCATGTTAATGAAACATAGCGCAAGAAAGGTTGAAATGTAGTATAAAGATATGTCACTTAAAGGTAATTTAAGTACTACCCACAAAATTATGTGAAAGCACATATGGAAAGTGCTTACATTATCTTTTCTCCTCTACATGAGGAACTCATTACAGGTGAATTTTCCACATGTTGTATAAAATCTTGTTCAATCCATAAAATTTGTGTAGTTTTAAATATTGATAGTGACAGTATATAGTTTCTGGGAAGAATTAGCTCCATGATTATTGAAACATAGTGCATTGAAATTGACAAAGTTGTATGGAATGGAGGTTGTTATTGTTTAAATTCTTGATTTGAGTGTGGGGTTATTTTTGGTCTTCTAATTTCTAAATTTGGTGGGGTTTTTATAGGGTTGTGACAATTCAAGGACTACTCTAGGGCTTAGTGAAGGTTGTGGTATATGCCAAAGCGTAAGGGGGCACACTGAAGAAGACGTTGTTCCATTGAGTTTCAATGGGTATGATGAGATGTTTAGCCAATGTCAGCCAAGATTTAATGGAGACGATGGAGGACTGGCTGCTTGCCTGCAGGCAATGGATAATACCTTCTCAGGCACTGAATCTAGCAGCCATCTTGTAAGTGGCCCATCTCTTCTTTTCCATTAATGCATGCAATGGATAATACCTTAGCTTCCTACATTTGTTACTCTATCTTGTAATTTCATCTTACATTTTACATTTTACATTCTTCCACTAAATTTGTTCCATTGCCATATTACAAGTTGACTTACTTCACAACATCAGTTACCCTTATAGCTAGGTACTATAGATGGTTTCTTATGCGTGGGGATAGCTAGACCCCTATGTGACAGTGTGACACTATTAATTAGTGTGACTTTAGAACGTTTCTCATTGGAGCGTAGTTCACCAGGTAGGAAGGGGATGTCACAAGAGAGAGGTCACGAGTTCTGAATTTAACTTTTTTTTACTCCAGGGGGGTCTGGGGGCATGGAGTAATTAGGGCTGAAACTCACTCCATTGAGTTTCAAACCATTATGTGTCTAGCGGGTTTCGAACTCGAGACCTCCCACTAGGCACGGTAACCTCACAACCAGTTGGGCTGGAATGCTTGGTTGTTCTGAGTTTAACTCTAAGCAATGACTTGTGATGGAACTACACTATCTTTCCATCAGAGTGAGATCAAAGTTCAATCTACATCTTCCAAGATACTTGTCATCCTCTTAGGAATGAAGTGTCATCCTTTTTTACAACCTTTCTCCAATATTTCAAGGATGATATTAGTATCTTCTTTCACTTTTGATAGTTCTACTTCTAGAAATATATTTTTCCCTATCCATTTCGAAACTATTAAAATGACACTCCAATGGAGAATGCATCGCACTTCCACATCACTAAATGCATTATTAAGGGGTGTTTGAAATTGATTCTGCTTCTACTTCTTTTTTAAAAGTAGAAGCAAATTCAGAATCAGTTTTTCAGAAGTTAGTCTTCCTTAGCTTCTAAAAAAACTGGTTATAGGAGCAATGTAGAATATCTAGAAGTATTTCTACACTTTCACCCAAACACTTCAATATCTGCTTCTACTTCATGAAGGAGCGCACAAAATCAGTTTCAAACACCCCCTAAAATAGAAATTTACTCTCCAATGCAAAACAAAATGAATGCATTGTACCTGAGTTGTCATCTAGAAATATGGAACAAGGTCTAGGAGGAGGTCCATATTGGGACCTTGCGTGACACTTTTTGACAAATCCTTCGGCCACCCATCTCCTTTTCCCTTTTGTTTGATGGACTTTGTAGCCTGTTAGAGTATATGTTCAATATTAAATGTCAGCATCCTTGATTGGGATAGGTTTCGAACCCGTGACCTCCGATTTGAGAGTGTCATAATTATATCATCGAACCACAAGGTGTTTGGCTTTTCCCTTCTTTATTTTGTTTTCTTTTCATGTTTTGTTTTATTGGATTGGAGTTGTGTTCAAATAGATCCTTCATTTTTCTAAATTCTTGGCCCACAATTGAATTAGAACTTCTCCATTATTTTGTCATCTCATCATCAAGGCATTACAATATTGGAGATGGTCTTCATCTCTTACTTTTTTATTAATCTTTTTATCTATTATATACCTCCTACTATTTCCATCTATTCTAAACTATTTGCTATGAGTATGTGATTTTAGTCTTAGATTATGTGAAAGTATGTGTTTTAAAGATACTACATTTGTTCCTTAAATACTTCCTGATTTGAATAACATGCACTTTAATGAAATAAATTTTTCTTCTTTGACTTTTTGAAATGTTCTTTTTACATAGGGTATTACTCCGTATAAATTACTCCAAATAGGAATAAAACATATACAAAGTGAACAAATAAGGATGTTTTTACTTAGACTGAAATTTTCTGGTCTGTTCTGGTCTGTTTTAGTCTAAACTGGTTTGATCTGGTAAATGGTTGGTCTCTGTGTATTGTATAACTGTTCAAGTCTGGTCTGATCTAGTTTAGTCTGATCAGGTATGGTGTGAGGCTAAAAATAGTCCAAAGTAAAAACATGTTATGTTTCATTCACAAAATATGACTAACTTGCTGATCTTCCTATACCCTATAAAACTTCCCCAAATAGGTGTACATTTATCTATTTTCTTGTCCTATTTAAGAAATTTTGTGGAAATATTACTTACTTACATCCTCTAAGTGGAGCTTGATCATGGTTTTATTTGTAGACTTCGTCCTCAGGGAAGCCGCTAGAACGCCGCATGAGTTTAGATTCCTTGCATAATATGGGCGGGGCCTCCATAACCAATATGTTACCCAACATGGGCGTCATCCCCCGCATGAATACCAACTGCGGCATCCTCATGAACCCTAATTGCATCAAAAACAACATTGGCTTAGTAGGGTTCCCGCCGCCGACCGGTCAAGTCCTTTCCGGCGGCGGCATGTCCATGGCTCTTTCCAACGTCACCGGAGACAGCTGCGTGGCGGATTATCAAGACTGCGGCTTGTCGCCGGCGCTTCTTAACGCCGAACCCAAATGGGAATCCAACTTTGAAGTCACATGCAGCCCACAGGCACGTGACAAGGCCAAGATGAGATACAACGAGAAGAAGAAAACAAGAACGTAAGTACATTAACCATGTTTCTAATTTTGTACAATTCAATCAAAATCAAACTAGATTAACGTAAACAAATTATATCAGATCAAATCAAATTTCGACAATCACAAAATACACATTGAACTGACATCTATGAGAATAGTTTAGATCAAACAGACTTAAATAGACTTGACTAGAACAGATTTGGATTTGTTAAGATTTGGGATTTCATCTAAAAGGTCGACCCTGATAAGAGGAGTACACCAAAGTTAGTGTATTATTATTTTTATTTATACAATTCCGGTGTGTGACAATATTGAGGTGTATAAATGGGTCAAAGAGATTCACAAATTACCTTTCATCGTGGTGATAAACAAGTCAATCAAACTACAATCGACTTGACTATGATAACATGTTAAGACCCAAAATGTCATCCTAATATTAATCTTTTAGAATGCAAGTTAATCTTTATACAAGAGTTTGACCAACTTCCATGAATTTATTGCCAATAAAATGCCATATTTTTTGCTTGTGGTACACAGGTTTGGGAAGCAAATAAGATATGCATCACGGAAAGCCAGAGCTGATACAAGAAAGCGTGTAAAGGGTAGATTTGTTAAAGCTGGCGAAGAGTTTGATTTTGACCCCCAAAAACAATAGCTAAAGGATATTCATTCTGATCGATCTGTTCGTTATTGATTTATTTAAGGTACGCATATTTTGGTGTAACTAAAATAATACTCCGTACACAGAATTATTCCCTTTGTCCCCAAAAAAAGCCGCCCGTCTTTCAAAATGATCTGTATTTCTTTTTATTTCTTTCATTAAAAAAAAGATTTGTTCATGTAATCTTCGCTCTCTTATATCATGTTTATAAATCTCAAAAGAAAAACAAATATAATTTCTTGAGAAGCATGTACTAAATGAGTCCTATTTTGAGAAGAAAATAATTGTGAATCTATTTAAGGAAAATAATCAGATTAATCACTCCATGTGTTTTACTTCTATCCAGAGAATTTTATCTATTATTAACTACAAGTTTTTTATTGGTAAAAAAAAACTACTAGTTTGTTATAAGCGGAAGGAAAATTTATTTCCAGGTACCCAAATATAGATATTGACATATTTTAGTGTGAAGGAAGTATAGTATAAGAAAAAATAAAATCCAAATTACTAATATAAGAAATTTCAAATTGGAGCTATCATATTGGGATTGAGGAAGTGATGCCTATGATTCCTTTTGGTAAATTACAAGACAACTTAGCTTCATTTGACTGCAAATGACTATTTTAGGATACAAATTTGCTTGAAACATGACTACATTTTTAAGGTTTACCCATAAAAATAAAGTATGGACCAAGTTCATAAATATGTCTTTTACACTAAAAATAAGACAAATGTTGTCCTAAAAAATTAAAAACAATTAAAACTTTTTTCAAGAATGAATTTGTCTAATTTTTTATACCACATGAAGTATAAAGAATCACAACCTCCATTCCACTTAAAACTTGGGCAGTTTTAGACTTAGAATACATTCTTAGACCGGGCGCACCACTCGTGGGCCAATTATCGTGTCCACGGTAAACGTTGGGTAGCCAAGTGCGGAGAGGAAGTTTTTGAGATATAAAACGGACCTCGCCATAAGGTCATTTTAAATCAGCATATTGAAATTAATGTATGTCAAATAACATCAAAAGTTTTAGTTGCAGAAGATGGAATGTCTTTGAAAAAACATTCATAGTCCAATTTCAAAAGATATGTTATGCGTTGGTCCTATTTTAGGCTTTACTGGAAATTATCTTCATGATTTGAATCCATCCAAACTTTATAGTTAATAATTAACTCATAAGTCATATCTAGCATTTCATTCATTCCAGTTCAAAGTTCTCTATGAGGTTCACGATAGCCGATTAATAGTAAAATTAAAAATTAAGTTTCCTTGTTAATTCAGATCGACTAAATATGTTGTTTTATTTTCCCACTACTTTTTAAATTAAAATACCTATTTATTTTTTAATTTCTACATGAATCGTATGTTTGTAACAACGGGGACAGATTTTTTTCAATTCTAATCGATTGGGCGTGTTGTGCCGGTTTTTACAGTAATGTGTGTAGTAATGTGTGTACGAGGTTAAAATCTACCTATTCAGAAATTACACTAAGGTTTCTTGAAATGTAAAATATAAATTCCTATGTGATGAAGTTTGTTAATTAAATTAGAGAGTAAAATAGAAATAAACTGACTATCCAAATAGTGCATGACAATCTTAAGCTGGAAAGAGGGGCTAATTATGATTATATGTATTGCTTTTTGAACTAATGATATGGTTTATGTTTTATGGTAACAGGCCTTAATTACATGGGCATTGGTTTCAATCAAGGGTGTAAATATGGTTTTGTTGGAGGGCCTGGCTTCACCATTTGTTTGACTATATTGGCTTCTTGAGGATAAATATACATATGCTTGATCACAGCTACACCATTGTTATTCAATTCTTGCCAATAAGCAGTGCCATTGAGTTTCATGCATGATGATGAAGGCTACATGAAATCTCCACATATACATATATGCCCATTCAGTCCTACTATCAAATTGAATTGCTCATCTTTATTCATATATATGTTACATTTTGAAGGGGGAGACATTTCATAGCGAAAATATATCATTTATACACACACAAAATATCTATATTCAATAATATAGATCGGTTTCTTCCTGTTTTCATTCATTTCGCTTATAATCAGGATATTATACATTTATGTTTTCCAGTGATGAATACAAATAAATCAACCCATATACATTAGGAGGTATTTCCTTCTATGTATCAATGGAATTCTGGATTGAGGCATTCTTTTTCATTTTCTACTATTTATGGAATGATGGGGGGAAATTGTGGTCTGAATACGATTTATCCAAGTGTTAATAAATAACTTAAAGATCTCTTTGAATCCTTTCTGGTATATGATAATGAATAACTAAAAAATTGCTGAGTATGCGTTTCTTGACTCTTGTATGAGGGAAAGTATAGCACTTTGTGCAGTTTGGAGTTAATTGTATTGAATTATTAGCTTATTTTATCCTAAACTATCATCGAATTCACATATTTATCCTATTCTTTCACTTTTTTTTTGTTTTTTATAAATTGCACATTTTTATCAATACCAATAAGATATACTCTGTATGCAATACAAATTTGTAACCTTAAAACAATAAAGTAGTGAAACAATATGAAATATAATTATGATTTTATTCTTAAGTTTTACTATCAATAAGATATACTCCATATGCAATACAAATTCTTAAGTATTATCAGAGAAATAGGATTTGGTAGATGGAGTTGCGAAATAAAGGCTATGTTGATGTTGTCGGAAGATAAACAGGTTGCCTATTCGAGTGTTTGGCGTGAGGCAAACTGGGTCGCGCATTTCATTGCGGACCAACCTTCGGCCCATTTCCAGAAACTATCTCAGCCTGATCAGCTACCGATCTGTGCCAAGAATGCTTATTTTATGGATCTATTCGGGATTCCTTCTCTTCGTAATATGTGTTAATCTTATTATTGTTTTTTGTTGTATGTTTTTATTTGGCCTTTTAATAATTTTCTATTTTAATAAAATCCTGGTAAATGTTCTCCGACATTTACCCCACTGATTTTGGTGGTTTGCCTTACAGAGTCAAAAAAAATCTTAAGTTTTACTAATTCATTCATTGAAAGTGTAATTTTGAGAAAAATTGAAATTTGGATCTTTTTTTTACAAAAGTGAAAGTACGGGATGATGAAACGGTTAACAACACAAGAGGGGGGTGAATTGTGTGTGTGTGGAACCGTGACAGTTTTTCGCACAGTTCTAGTGTGGGGTCCAGGGAATTACGAAATAATAAAGTGCACAAGGATTTAACGAGGAAAAATCCCTTGGCTCAAAGGGATTAAAAAAACCTCGACCTCCCTCGGAGGAATTTGAACAACTTCACTAAAAAGCCTTTGAATGATTACAAGGGAAACTCTCCTAGTCTACCCTTGAGCCACCCCAACTCTATCCTCTCTAGGAAGAGTTATGCATCTCTACCTTGCGGGTAGAAAGCCTCTCAGCTTTACAACAAAGCTCTCACAACACACTAACCGACCCGAGGATGCTACACTTAGCCAATCCTCAAAAAACCCAATTACAAGATGGAGAAGGAAAAAGAAACTCAGTCTGGAACTCCGTGAGCAGGTTCAGATGCCTTGGACTTAGTGAATATTCGAGTGTATATTTCTCAATAGAAGCTCGGTCAAGCACACTTCATTTCTCTTTGGCTGCTTCATTTATATAGGCTGTCTTGGGCAGACCGTTTAAGCATCCTTCCTTGAATAGTTGATCTTCTAATCTTGGGACTTGCCTAAATATTTTGAATTGCTTTCCTTCTTTATAATACTTCCCATATCCGAGCTCAATATTTAAGGCAGCCGGATTAAACATCATAATCAAGGTAGCATATATCAGTCCTGGACTAAGAATGGATACAAACAGCTCGTCCATCTTTTGAGTTAATCAATTAATTACCGAATAAGGTAGGTTTCGGTCAATATTCAAAAAGGTAGGAATATTTTTCTCAATATAAGCAATCAACTAATTTAGATATGGAATATATTTCAACCAGCTTTTATTCTTTCACATCCGTGTAGCTATGGAATATTTTACGTACCATACTAAGCTATATCAATTATGGAAAGAGAATAATCACTCGTATAAGGAAATCATAGCAATAGAAGAATAAGTAGGTGCAATCCGTATTAATTCAAATCATATTACGGATTTAGAGATGGAGTTGTATTTTAGTTTCTCCTGCATGGTTAGTCAATCAAATTAATAATATCCATTTGTTCCTGTTACGCAAGGAATTGTGAGCGGTTCTATCCGCCGTTCCTCCTGTATGGTTAGTCATCAACAAAATAATCATACTTAACAAATTCCCCCTTTTGTTGATGACAAACCTTAGGTGTCAAAAGAATCCCTGCAGGTTAGTATTTAAGCAAAGCATAGCAGTAGCAGTAGTAGTTTAGTTTGAGTTTAGCAACAAGAGGCTGAAGCACCTGATTATTTCCCCCTTTTGGCATCAACCAAAAGGAAACAGAAAATAACCAAAACTGTGCAGAGTAATGATGGATAGTCTACCCGGGGGGTATATATCCGAGGGGTTATTGTAGAGAATAACTTAGAGAGAAGTCAGAGCACAAGTAAGCAAGAGAGAGAGTGTATTCAGTATGAATGTCGTGGTTACAAATGGGGAAAGGGGTTGCTATTTATAGTAGTAATAAATGCCGAACAGGGACACGTGTCAAGCGCCCATTGGCCGAGGGGTCACCTCAACTGGGCGTTGGCAGCCGCATGTGGCCGCATTTAATGCGGCTGTTGGATAGGACGTCTGTACAGGGTACGGCGATCTGTACGCATGTGAGGCGGATATCATGTCGGGAGGGGTGCCCTTGGTGTTGAGGACCCCTGAGTGCCGAGGGCTCCAGATGCCGAGGGCTACTGTTTTCTGCCGTTTTTCTCCCAGTTTCTTAGTTTGCTTGGAAAATCCGTTCTGTGAGAGTTTAGAGCCTTCGGCCGGGGGGCCGTCTTCCTCCCGGATGAGCACAGAGCTGATGGCCGTCGGGCTGACCCCAAGGTAGAGGTAGAGGGTCTCCCCTACCTTGGGTTTGGAGAGCACAGGAGGTGAAGATAGATATCGTTTGAGCTCGTCGAAAGCCTCCTGGCATTCTGAAGTCCATTGAAAACCAGCCGTCTTCCTCATGATTTGGAAGAAGGGTAAAGACTTCTCCGCTGATTTAGATAGAAAGCGGTTGAGGGCTGCCAGGCGGCCCGTCAACCGTTGAACTTCCTTCACGTTGCGTGGGGGCTCCATGTTGATGATGGCCTGGATCTTCTCGGGGTTGGCCTCAATACCCCTTCGGCTCACCATGTAGTCTAAGAATTTGCCCCCTTGGACGCCGAAGGTGCACTTCTTCGGGTTTAGCCGAAGGTTGAACTTCTGCATGATGGCGAAGATTTCCCGGAGGTCGTCAGCATGGCTGGAAGATTGTTTGCTCTTGACGATCATGTCGTCAACATAGGCCTCCATGGTGCGCTCTAGGACGGCTTGAAAGACTCGGGCCACCATCCGGGTGTAAGTGGCCCCTGAGTTCTTTAGGCCGAAGGCCATCACTAGGTAGCAGAAGATGCCCTCGGGAGTCATGAAGCCAGTTTTTTCGGCGTCTTCCTCGTGCATGAAAATTTGGTGATACCCTCGGAAGGCATCGAGGAAGGACATGATCTCACACCCTGCGGTCTCATCCACCAGTTGATCAATGTTTGGTAGAGGGAATGGATCCATAGGGCACGCCTTGTTGAGATCGGTGTAGTCCACGCACATGCGGAAGGTAGGGGGCTTCTGTGCGAGGACTACGTTGGCCAGCCATGAGGGGTATTTCACCTCCTTGATGTGCTTAATTGAGAGGAGCATGGCGACCTCCTTCTTCACAAATTCCCTTCTCTCGGCCGAGAGGGGTCTTCTTCGTTGCTGTACTGCTTTTGCCGAGGGGTCCACCGAGAGGCGGTGGGTGATGACCCTTCGGCTGATTCCCGGCATGTCCTCCGGCCCCCATGCAAAGACAGTGGAGTAGGCGCGGAGGGCGTCGGTGATACCGGTCTTCAGATCTTCAGGGAGCTGGGCTCCAATCTTCACGACTCTCTCCGGCTGGGCCGGATCGAGCGCAAAGTCTTCTACGTCCTCAGCTGGTTCAGCCCTCGGCCTTTTTTCTTCCTGGTCGATGGTTCCGGTGATGGTGTCAACACGGAATTCCGTCTTACTTACTTTCTTGGTGACCTGAAGATAGCAGGCGCGGGCGATTTTCTGATTCCCCCGGGAATAGCCAATGCCCCCCTCGGCGGGAAACTTGAGGCAGAGGTGCCTCATGGAGATGATGGCCTCGAGGTCCTCGAGGGCTGGCCGGCCGAGGATGATGTTGTGGGCGCAGTCGATATTGACGACGACGAACTCCACTTCGAGCTGGGCTCTATGGAGCCCGTCGCCGAAGATCACCGGGAGGGTTATTACCCCCTCGGAATCAATAGTATCGCTGGTGAAGCCGGCAAGAGGGGTCTTAATGGGCCGAAGGGACCCCCTCTCCAGATGCAGCTCTCTGAAGGTGCTGAGGTACGTTACATTGACGGAGCTGCCCGTGTCAATGTAAGTTCGGTGAATGATGGTGTCGTTTATTTCAGTCCGAATCACCAAGGCATCCTTGTAAGGAGAAGAAGTAGGAGGGAGATCTGCGTTGGTGAAGGTGATGGGTTCCTCCCTCAGTCGCTTTACCGGGGGCATATGAGTGACCTCCCCCACGTAAAGCGATTGAGCCCACTTCTTCCGCTGGCTGGTGGAATCGCCCCCTGTATTGCCACCGGTGATCATGAGGATGTGGCGTTTTTCTCCTGGTAGTGGGGGTACTCCTCCTCTTCCTCCTCCAAGTTTCCGATCTCCCTCTTCTTGCCGAGGGGGATGGTGTTCGGGTTTACCCAAGCGTTTACCTTCGTGTGGTGCCCTCGAGGAGGTCCCTGATGAGAAGGTCCCTCCTGCCGAGGGCTCTGAACAAATTGGGACAGGTGCCCCGCTTGTATCAACCTCTCGATGGCCGTCTTTAGCTGATGGCAGTCATCGGTTCTGTGCCCCTGGTTCCGATGGAAGCGACAGTATGGGAACTGGGGGTTGATAGCATTTACCTCCGGGGGTGCGCGGGAATCGCGCTCAACGAGGCCCCTCTCCTCGGCAAAATCAAGGATGATGCTGACGGAGTGCGTCAATGGTGTC